GCGGGCCACAGCGGAAACCTTTCAGAATTCCGGGTTAGTAGCATTTAGTTTGTGATGTGTCTTGACATAAAAAGCGGCGTTATAATATATGTTCACGTGAACATTGATGTGGAATACTGGCGAATGACCCAGACACTTGAACAAAAATGCAAAGACCTGATTGTGGATTTAAACTTGGGTCGCAGCGACGAAATAGCGTCAATTGTGCCGCTGACGGGGGGCGTTGCGTCCGATATTGCCTCGGTCGTGGTGGGTAAAACGCAGTATTGCGTCAAGTTCGCTTTGCCCAAGCTCAAGGTCGCGGNTGGAATATGTCACCGGCAATGACGTCTATCTTTGGAAGGCCCGATTGTTGGCAGGTGCCGCCCCGAAAGGGGAAGCCGCGGTCGTTGGTGATATGATCGGGCGCATTCATGCAGCGTCAAGCGCGGGGGGATTCGATCGCACCCCGTTCCAAAACCGTGATGATTTCCGCGCGCTTCGCATCGAACCCTATCTTACGTTCACGGCACGGTCCCATGCGGGTGTCGCGGGGCAGCTGAATGCACTGGCGGGCATGCTTTATGACAGTTCCGTGGTTTTGGTGCATGGCGACGTCAGCCCCAAGAACATCCTGTTTCGCGACGGCGGCGCGATCATTCTGGACGCTGAATGTGCAACGATGGGGGATGCCAGTTTCGATCCGGCATTTTGCCTGAACCATCTGGTGCTCAAATCCGTGCATATTCCTGAAAGGCGCAGCGAATTGTTGGCCGAAGTTGGCGCGTTTTGGTCTGCCTACGCCGCCCATGTCACTTGGGAACCGACAGATGTCTTGGAGGGCCGCATTGCCTGTCTGCTGCCAGCGTTGATGTTGGGGCGCGTCGACGGAAAATCCCCGGTGGAATATCTGGATGAGGCCGAGCGTGCGCAGGTGCGTGCCTTGGCGATTTCCCTGATCAAAGAGCCGTCTTCGACCCTGTCAAAGGTGGTTGAGCGCCTGACAACAGGTTTAAAGGAAGCATAAACATGTCGCATATCAAAGATGTAATCGCGCGGCGGGTCTGGGACTCGCGCGGGCATCCAACCGTCGAAGTTGATGTTATTTTGGAAAATGGTGTCGTCGGGCGCGCCATCGCGCCAGCGGGTGCATCGCGCGGCACACGCGAGGCGATTGATCTGCGAGATGGCGGCGCAGCCTTGCAAGGCAAGAACGTCGTGCAGGCGCTTAAGAACGTAAACGGGCCCATCGCTGCCGCATTAAGGGGGCGGAATGTGCAGGATCAGACGGGTGCTGACAGCGCAATTCTTGCGCTTGATCCATCCCCGCTGAAAAAAACGCTTGGTGGCAACGCCACAGTTGCGACCTCCCTTGCGGTTCTGCATGCGGCTGCGGCGGATGCGGGCTGCGCCTTGTGGCAACATGTGGCGGAACAGAACGGGTTTACGCCCTCTCTGCCCCTGCCCGAAATCCNTTCGCCGCCGGCGACATCATGCAGTCCAAAGGAAAACTGGCAGGCGTCGCGGACGAAGGCGGTTGGTGGCCGATGTTTGACAGCAACGAGGAAGCTTTGGAAACCCTGATCGGTGCGATCGAAAAAGCGGGTGAAAAGCCCGGTGATCGGGTTGTCATATCACTTGATATCGCGGCTTCCGAATTCTGCAATGACGGCCGTTACCGGCTGGCACTTGAAGATCGTGATATGGACAGCAACGCCATGATCGACATGCTGGGGGGTTGGCTTGACGCCTATCCGATTGCATCCATCGAAGACCCGCTTGCCGAAACCGATAAAGAGGGGACTTGCGAATTCACCCGCCGGTTCGGGGACAGGGTGCAGNCGCAAAGCGCCGGATGGGGGGCGATTGTATCTGCGCGGTCCGGTGAAACCGAAGATGTCTCAATCAGCCATCTGGCGACAGGATTGGGCGGGGGCCAGTTAAAGGTTGGCTCGTTCACCCGATCCGAGCGGATGGTGAAGTGGAACGAATGCCTGCGCATTCAGGACGCTTTGGGCGCAGCAGCCTTTGTTGGCGGCGCGCCATTGNGCGCAGCCCTTTAACATCTGGTGCGTCGGTTTGAATTATACGGATCACGCGAAAGAAGCGGGGCTGCCCGTGCCTGATGAACCTATTCTGTTCAACAAATCCACGGTGACATACTGCGGACCGAACGATAATATCTTGAAATCCGCGCAGATGACAAAACTCGACTGGGAGGTCGAGCTGGGCATCGTGATCGGCAAACCTGCGCTGAACATTTCCAAAGAGAATGCGATGGATCATGTCGCCGGTTTTGTTTTGGTCAACGATCTGTCCGAACGCGCCTGGCAGATGGAGCGGGCAGGCCAGTGGGTCAAGGGAAAGAGTTTTCCCAACTTCTGTCCTACAGGACCATTCATGGCGACGAAGGACGAAATTGAAAACGTGCAAAGCCTTGGCATG